ACTTTACTGACACGCCCCCCCTCGCAGTCTGATCCAGCCGCTGGCCTGCCCCAGCTGCAGCGATACTCTCGGCTTCACTGCGCTCGATGTGCCCCCGAGCAAGCAATCTTTCCGGTACGTCTCCTCTCCTGCTGCTACTGCTGTTCTTGTCGCCGCTACCGCCGTCTGTCTCGTGCAAGTCGTGGAGTGTTGCACATCTGGCGTCGGCCTTTTTTCTCTTTGGCTGCGAGCCTGGCTGGTCTGTCCTTTGCCTGGACCGATCACTGATGCGCGACCCGCCGTGTGGCGCTGGGCTGCCGGGGTGTTGCATGCGCACCGCCTGCATCGAGTATTAACAGGTCGAGCGGCCATAATCAAGCCAGCATCTCGTGCGTTTCGTGAGTATGCTCGCTGGCTAACGTATATATTTTGCATGATCCAGCGGCCGCGACTTCTTCAAGCTGCCCCGCATCGAGCTGCGATGCGAGCTCGCGCCGAACCAGACCAGCGTTGTAGAGCCCCAGGTCGACCCAGCAGTGCCCGATCCGCTGCCCGTTGATGATTCCGAGCCGTCGTCGCCCGTTCCAGTAATTCGCCCATCAGCAGACGACGCAGACGACATGGAGGTCGACACGCGCCCGCCGCATGCATCCCAACCACCACCCCCACCGTCGGGTCCACTACTACTACCACCACCACCACCACCAGCACAACCAGCACCTCCCCCTCATCCGCACCACCATCACGAGCAGCAGCAGCAGAACCAGCAGAGCCAGCAGAGCCAACATCACGACGCCCATCATCACCACCACCAGCCAGTCCAGCCAGTCCAGCAGGTTGAGGCCAACCGTCCGTCACTGCCACCACCACCGCCGCCAATTAGGTCTTCTCCAGGAGCCCCGCTCCCGCCAGTGCATTCGCTGCCACTGCAAAAGTCGCCTAGCAACCCATTGCCGTTGCCGTCGCCGTCGCCAGGCGTGAAGCCGGTGCACGATGTGCCGTATGTGCAACCACCGTCCACGGAGGGCAGCGCCGGCCTGGCCAATCGCACGCGGGAGCTCCCGCCAGTGGTGTCGCACCCGCACCCGCACTCGCACTCGCCCTCCGAGCAACATCGCCAAAACGGTCAGTACTATCCCCGGCCGCCACAGGACGTCCAGCTTGATGCCATTGAGCGGCTGCAGACCCAGATCTCACAGAACAGCGGTGCCCTGATGATCCATGGCCGGGATATGCGTCGCTTCGAAGAGTCGGTCAAGCAGCAGGAGGATTTCAGCAGAGATGTACAGGGCCAATTACACCACCAGAGCTCAGAGCTCAGGAGAGTGGACGATGCCATTGGAAGACTGCAGCACGAGATGCGAGGTATTCGCGAGCTCCTGGAGACGCTTTCCCGCGACGTGCAGGCGGCCGCACGCGCAAATGGACAGGGCATTCCCGGACAGTCAGTTTCCGCTCAGGACTCGGCTCTTGAGCTCATGGCTGCTCAGGTGTCTGTGGTTTCCCAAAAGGTGAACGAGGTCGACACGTTGAAGATCACCATCGAGATCATGAAGAACAAGATCCAGCGGCTTGAAGAAGCTGCGGCCGGAGCCCCATCTCTCCAGTCAGGTTCGCACCCATTTCCATCGCCGCGAGAGCCTTCCGCACATTCTGCACACTCTTCGCATACCGTACCTTCTTACCACACCACTCCATCAACTGTTCCTCATATCAGCACTCCTATCCACCCTGCTCAGAGGCCCGCATCCTTCCATTCTCATGGCAATCACTCTACCGCTACCCCAGAAGTGTCTCAGAGGGCTGAGCCAGCACAGGCCCAAAGTGGGTGGGTCACAGTCAATACGAGTGCGAAACGATCTCTTCCCAATGGCGTCGACGACCCACACGATCCCATCGGTGAACCTGTTGGATCCCCCAAGCGGCCCAAGCTTGCTCCAATCGAGCCGCGGGTTGCCTTCGGCAGCTCTCAACAGGCGACTCCGCATCAACAACACATCGTATACGACCAAATGGATACAGATGATTCCGAGTCAAGGATCCCACCCCATACCCACTCTCTCCCGTCTCAACATTCCCGAGATTCCATCCCTGAATCTACCCTCGCTTCGCAGCATGCAGCCTACCCCCCATACAACACGCAAGACGCTCCTTCAGACGATAGCTGGCGACCTGAGTCTCAACGCATCATAGAGCATCGAACGCCAAGAGGTCGGGGCCGTGGCGGAGGACCCGGAAGCCGAGGTGGGCGTGGACGCAAGAGCATTCCAGCTCAAGTGCATCTTGGAACTCCAGAATGGGAAAGAGAGGATTGGCAAGGCATTGCAGAATCCCAAACCAGCCCAGATGGATTCTATAACCATGCCGCGCGTTCAGGTCGCGGAATCCTTCGTCGTGGGAGCGGCGGTGGGGGCGGCGCGTCACGTGTCTCTCGCCCTTCGAGCTCCAGTGGTCGAGCTATCAGTCTGGGACTACAAGGCGTAACACCAGGCATCAGCCATATTGGTCTGCCAGCCGATCCCTATGCGCATACAAAGAAGACTCGAACGAAGCCCACTCGCAATGCAGACGGAATCCTCATTCGCAAAGATGGCAGGCCAGATATGCGTTCGCAATCCTCTGCTGCGAATCTCCGCAAGGTCCATGCGCGGAAGGAAGAGCAAAAGTCCACGGACCGATCGTTCACCCCCACGCCTAGCATCTCCAATCTTCAACATGCGACGAGCATGGACGCTGACACACCGAGCCCTACCGCATTTGGCCCTGACGGACAGAATCTGACGAGGAGTGTTCAGAAAAAGCATCACCAGATTATGGGCAAGATGTTTCCTGGCGGGGTAGAAGAATCGAGAAAAGAACACGACTACTCCAGGAAGGTATTTGAGCACGATCAGGATCATACAGCACACCCTCGAGGTCAGCATCATCACTACCACCACCACCACCATCAGCAGAATGCACCGCATTCGCCGCTCGAAATCAAAAGGGAGCAGATTGAGGAACGCCGAATTCCTGATTCTCAAACTCCGGAGGGTGGCCGCAGCGACGGAGACGCAGACATGGATCGTTCGGACCATGCCGATGACGAAGCCCAGTCGCTGAGCGGTGGGAGTGAAAACTCCGGTCGCGATAGCCAATACCATGATGCCGCCAATCATGAGGGACCACGACAACCGTCGGAGCCACAGGAGAATGGCGCTCCAGCACCGCAATCGACAGCTGACTCCTCGCAGACGGTTCAGGCCGCGTCGACTATTACTTCATAATAAACCCAGAGCTGATCGTTTCGCTTGCGAAGGAGGTTCTATAAGAATAACGCGTGCGCAAACTCTTGAGAGGGTTCTACTCTCTAATAATCCGGTTTCTTTCATTTCGGCGACATCGCTTTAGATCTTTTTTTTTTTTTTTTCAATGCAACGTTCAGAAAAGGACGCAATGAGATTCACACTACCGTTACAGGACGTCTACACGAACAATCAATCCGGCAGCCCGTTTCCAAAACTGCGCATACAGAAGGATTGTCTAGTGGCGATTCTTGTTGGAGAAGGAGTTTGTCTTATTTAGGCAACACGGATCCATGATGAACTAAAAACAGTATGTGTCAGAAAACATCGTCTTCATTCCAATGTTGCTGGCATGTAGGCTGGCAACAGATGAAAAATTTCCTAACTTTTCGGTTTTTCTCCCTTGGAGAAAGATTTCCCTTTTGCCTTGTTTTTCCACATGGCGTTTGGTGGCTTTTCGTTGATTTGGGGTAGCGCGTGAATAGCAAAGCTCCGTCTGCATAATGCGGAATTTTTTGCATACTCGACCTATGTCAAACAAATCCTTGGGCGGAGTTTTGAATTTTCTATGGCACTGTTTTTGCGGATAAAACCATTCTCACGGGCAAAGTGAGTCGTGGCTTTTGTACTACTATTATTTAGACCTACCAGGATGGGATCAAATTGTCAGACATGGGCGCGAGCTACCTTACTATTATGTTTATACCCCCTCCCGTAATTTCATACATTATATATACCCCCTGTTTGAATATGATAATTCTATCTATCTTCATGTAGGACAGGGGCTTGTGGATAGGAAGTCGAAGCTTGGAATGTAGAGGATTGTAATTTGCCTATGATTGGGTTGAAATGTGGGAATTTTATCCAAGCTGTGTATATCACCGTAGATATAATAATAAATATGTACATGGAAATCCTTGCAATGCTTCAGCTATTCGAGCCTCCTCTCCTATACCCGCAGGTATTTGCCGAACGAGCTCAGCCAGTTCGCTTGGCGCCGAAATGTCGTGGGGTCCGACGGCCGAAGGGCATAGCAAGGCATGGCATGGTATGGCATAAAGGACACTGTAGCCTTAACGGTCTAAGTAGCTGCGGCTGTAAGCTGTGGTTGCGGCTGTAGTGCTTGCCACGTATTTAGGCGCCGCTTTAGCAAGCGCTTGTTAGTTCAGGGGGGGGGAATAAGGAAAGGGGTTTCAGCGCTATGCTTGGCTAGAGGTTTATATATATATATATATATATATTTACTCGCGAAAAGTATAGCGTGCGATAGTGGTTTTGGGTGGATGGCGCAGAAGGCATGAAGTATGATGATGTGAGATTGATGTAAGATGGGAATCTAGGGGTTTTAGGGTGGGGCAGGGGCGGGAGGGGGGAGTATAGGCGAGAATGAGTAGAGGAAGGGATGCTATGAGTAAGCGGGTTTGGGTTTTTGGGGATGTTGGTGGCAAGGGGGGTGTGGATGGTGGCTTCAAGTGGTAGTCAGTGGCACAATTGCCGGCTATATACAGTTCCTAAACGAATGAGACTGTGGGAAATGGCTTTTCAAGATTAGCTAGGTCACTTGATGAGTCTTTTATCGCATCTAAATTATACTAGCGTTAAATGAAGCGCGATTCAACCATCAGGTGAGTATTCCATAACTAGTGGACCAAAAATAATTTTCGACGAGGGTTATTATTACAAACTGACAAATCCCTTGCACATCTCTCCCAAAGTGGAGAGAAAAAAATCGTAATCGGGTCTTGCCGCGATTCGAACGCGGGGCCTCTCGCAAGCAGCTCAGGTTTTGTCACAAGACCCTAAGCGAGAATCATACCACTAGACCACAAGACCGACTTGAATTCTGATACAAATAAGTAGAAAATAAACGATTATGTAGAGATTTCTTAAGGCCAAAAGTGAGTATTCATTCATCCTAGCACTACGCTAGCGGTAGGATCTAGATCGTATTAGACAGCTAGAAGTTTGTTTTAGCCATTGTCATCCTTGGCATGCGTCCTTCGTGCTACGTAGCTAAGCCGTCTTCGTTGCAAGGCTAGAACGCGCGTTTTCGTGTTTACTTCCTGATGGATCGCAGTTGATCATAATACATTCTGAGACCTAATCACCAAAGATAGTGCATCTATTTGTACCGGTAGGTCAAGGCTTCTTTCTTCGCCTTGGGCGCTGAAATACTGACGGCCCTTAGGCCAAGGATAACATCCCCGGTGTGCTAGGCCTGTTGAGTCTCTACCAGCAAGTGAAATCGTGCAAAATACCCGACCAGCGTACATACTCGCAGGCTTATGGACTGGTATTCTAGCTGTTTCAGGAAATGCGCAACTGGTGACCTTCCTTCCATCTGTGGCGTAAACAGGTAAGTTTGTAGCAATGCTTTGTGGAGTCGATATATGTTGGCTTCGAATTCGGTTCCATTGTGGGAGGGCCCCAATTCCATAACTTCCACAATCAACAATCGTCCCTGGTGCAGCTCCAACATGCACGGGTAAGGACGGAGGCGGTGAAAGGAGTGCAAGCATATATAACTTCTCTTTCTATTTGTTCATCGACATTTTGTAAAAAGATGGTTTGCAAGTTTGAGCAAACTTCGAGCCAAGGTTAGTTATGCCGAATCCGACCACCCTCCTAGTTTTTGACTCGACGTGGTTTGATGAATGCAATCAAAAGAGCGGTGACAGGGTGAATCTACAGAACCCGGATATTACTGGAACACAGGCTATGCAGCGGCACTTGAGGAGCTAGAGAAATTCAGAATCAGACTATCCACCGAACTGGAGTACATATGGCAGAATTTTGCAAGGAAAGAGCACAACTTCTATCAGAGCTCGGAAGGAGAACGCTCCAAGAACGTCATGCCGATGGGAGCTATAACTCTTGAGTGAGCTCACCAAGAAAATGCGGATGAGAAGGGCCGGGGCAGATTTTCCTATTGCTAATATGCTGAAGCAGCGGGCTCAATTGCAATCCATGGAGACCGGCTCCAAACAGTCATGGCTCCCCACCCTGTTTGACGATCTAGGTCTCCCAGTGGGCAGGCAACAATACTCCCCTCAGCTCACCTCGGATGCTACATGCTAGCATTGGGATTTAGTCAAGAGAGCACTAGATTCTAAGCAGGTGATGGCGGGTTCGAATGCAGGCGCCGGAAATTTAGACCCGCGTGGAACCAAGTAGAAAGGCTGAAAAGAAACGTGGAGGCGACCGAAAGTCTAGTGTAAAAGTTCAAAAAATGCATTCAGCGAGCGGAACCCAAATTCCCAAACAACAAGTAAAAATGTACTTATTCAAACACAATAAAGGGGGGGCATGTCCTAGATAGTAGCTATATGACTACCTTCGAAGAATGGTTGCTTGGGGGCTCACCCTCGACTTGAGTGAAGGTAAAACGGGGAAAAGGACGGTTTATCAATGCTTTAAGAGAAGGGATACTTTATAGGCGTGTCAAACGTTCGGTTAACTATCAGCTACCTCACTACTGTAGCTGCTAAGACTCCTGTTGTCCGATTGCATGAAGAAAGAGTAATTTCGGACTCTACGCATGGCTTTAGATATTAGGTATCATGTACTATATTTGGGCATGAAAAATTTCCGGGCTTTTGGTGTTCAGTTTTCTGACCTTGACTATGCATAGGCACTTGATAAAGAAGTTACTACATCGAGGCCCCTCTAAGTCTGGGGGGGGGGGCAATGCATGCCCCGCACTTGACCAAAGCATCCTCATTAGGGGCATCTTCGACTATTCTGCGCAGTTCCCCCAGAAAATAGCAAAATATAACAGGTAACTCTCTGTTATTAGCGCCTGCTTAGTACGGGGATGTGACCTATGTTAAAACCTAGATGTTTATTTACCATAAATTATGTACCCTCTCCTACATCTCTACAAAGGCACAGTCAACGGATTCATGACGCTCGCTCCACCATCAACTCTCAACTCCGCCCCAGTAATATAACTACTAAACCCGCTCGCCAAAAACCCAGCCACACGCCCGACCTCCTCCGGTCTGCCCGCTCTCTCCAGTCCAATGACCCGTTCCTGAACTTCCTTGTTCTGTAGGCTCGCTGGCGGAAACTGCCCTCCCTCAAGACCCGCGCCCTTCAGATCGACGCCGACATCGATCTGCCCGGCCGTTATCGCGTTAATGCGGACGCCAGTACCTTTTAGCACGGCGACACCGGATCTCATGACGCCTAGTGCGGCGTGCGAGGACATGGTAAATGCAGGGCCCCAGCATCCACCGTATGTACCTGCGACGGAGGTCACGATGATGATAGAGCCATACGGAATATCTTTTGGGGCTGCATTCGGGTATGATCCTTTGGGGGTCGTCTTTTGCATTGCAGCGGGCGCATATTTAAGGGCAAAGAAGGCGGGCATCGAGTTGGACTCGAAGGCATTGTAAAGGTCGCGAGGGGAGGTTGAATTTATGCTAGGGGGTCCGAGGAGACCTGTTGAAGAAGTCCATACGTCGAGGCTAGGAAATGATTGTTGTCAGCGCATAGGCTCGTAAACAGATTTTACAATGGAAAGGAGTGAGCGTTTTGGTGTGGAACGTACCGGCCCCACGAGTTCAACACATCGTCAATAAGCGCGAGGGTATCTTCTTCAGATGTTATTTTGTATGGGTATCCGATGACTTTCGTATTCGGATACTGCGCGTTTACGGATTCCGCGAGTTCGGCGTATGGCTCGTCGGGAAGGGAAGAACAGGCGTAGATACAGGCTGCGCCGTGCGCTGATGGGATAAGCAGTCAGTTGAATCGTTGTACATAGAGGAATATAAAACGAGAATATAGAGATACAGAAGCCCAAGGCGTTCGAAAATAGGTCAAATTATGGAAAATCGTTTTGGCGGCTTCAGTTGCAAATTGACATTCGATAAAATTTGGTCATCTCCCACGGCGCTGGCTTCATGCCTTATACAGGAGCTCAATTGGACTTGGGATCATACTCACCAGCGAGCTCGGTAACAATAGCCTTTCCGACAGGTTGCGTGGCGCCCGTCACGACGCAAACGAACCCATACTACACAAGTCCATCTGTCAGTCTACTTCCACGCAGGACACTGTTCTCCACACAGATATTGACTCACAAGTTTCCCATCCGCTCTATACGGCGAAAAATGTTCAGAATCCATTGTATCTATTGGCGTCCTTGAACTATCCATATCAGCCATTTTCCTTTATCGGCTCTTCACCAAGTAGAAATTTAGATCAAGGAATGGACGAGGGAGCTCTGACGCGGCCACGACAGCTAACCAGAGCCCACCATTGTTTTTCTTCTTTCTCAGTAGGCGGGCCCAAAAGCAAGTCATGGCTGAATAGGAAGTGCTGTTTCGTCAGTGGCTAGCTGCGCGGTGGACCGCGGAGATACATAACGGAAAAGCAATTGTTGGTTGGAGGGGCAGATGTGCCTTATCGAGAGCTTATCGATTTCATGTAGATTACGGGATGCGCCCTAGTGCAGCAGAGGGTATCTAAAGACGTACGTAGGATTGGAGCAGTCGTGTTAGTCAGTTGTGATGTCACGCGATTGAAATACGCTATTTATGATGCGACGGCAAGGTTGCTCATGTCTAGATCTAGTTCAAGAGCCCACTAACGATGCGTTTATGACCGCGGAGTCTGGGGTACATTGTATCCTTGAAACCCGCTATTCAGATAGCCTTCTTGCTCTCAAATTTGATATTCCGATTCATCATCTACGCCTTCTTCGCCTTATCCTCCTCGGCAGCCCCCTTCAACTGCTCCCTCGGTGGCAAGCTGCTCGGCCCAAAGCTCATTGGCAACAGCTCTCCCAAGGTCATAACCTTATACTCGCCCCCTTTATTGAACATAAAAATGGGTACCTCGTTCTCGCAGAACTCTCTGAGGAACTGCCTACACATGCCGCATGGAGAGCAAAAGTCGTCCATGTCCGTCGCTACACCGATAGCTTTAAAGGAGCCAATTCGATGCCCCTGGAGCACGGCTGTGCCCATTGCAGTCCTCTCAGCGCAGGTTCCCACCGGGTAGGAAGCGTTTTCTACATTTGCACCGGTTATGATGGTTGGCGGGGAGGAAGTGGATGTCGGGTTGAGGAGAAGGGATGCGCCGACGCGGAATAGTGAGTATGGGCCTATAGATGGCTTTTGTCAGGCATTATGGATTCATAAGCGACCTAGTACGAAATGTACATCACAATGTCTTCGAGCATAGGTGTGAGGGGTTAAGGTTGAGGGGGTTGCTTACAGTACGCTAACGCTTTTGCTTCAATGCATGATGTTGAAAGCACTGTGAGTTCCTCAGTCGTGAGACCGTGCACTAAACCACTGGGCTCTGGCGTAGAGGCAGAGTTTGCTGCTGCTGCTGTTGGCATGGTGAAGGAAGGAAAGAAAGTGAGCTTGCAAATGGTGAGCTCTGGTATCAGTGCCAAGCCTCGGCTTTCAAGATAGCGCTAGCTGGTTCTGGATAGCTTCTGGAAGTGTGGCGTAGGAAGTTGGAGCTTTGGTGAAATAGTGGAGGAGTTTGATCAAAGGTGCCAATTTTCTTTTCGTAAGGTCTGTTTTTGAAAATGGCTTCCAAGAAGTTTTCCCACGACTGTTGACATGTGATTGCACAGACGTTCATCCTGCGCCGTGACCGTAAACGGGCCAACTCAGAGCGGGCATAGACATGAGCGGAGCATAGCAATGGACGGAGTTCTCTGATCTGTGTCAAGAGCAATGAACATTCCGAAAATGGGTATTAGTATTGAATACCTTGATTTTAGAGTATTAAGAGAGAAATTTGTCTGGTCTGACGATGCGATATTCACTTTGAAAATCCCCAAGACCCAGTAGACGGAATGGGTATCT